CATGATCTGTAGACCTAATCACATGATCTGTGGGCCTAATCATATGATCTGTAGGCCTAATCACATGATCTGTAGGGCTTTATCATATGATCTGTAGACCTAGTCACATGATCTGTAGGGCTTAATCATATGATCTGTAGGGCTAGTCACATGATCTGTAGGCCTAATCCCCTAGAGTATTAACATAATAAGACATCCCCATTAGAATCTGTCTGTTTAAACTAGAGATATCTTTTTTTGTATGGGCTGCATCTCAATCCACCGCATCTGCCTATGGCTGCATTCCAAACACGTAAAACACACACCCTCTCCCTGCAGCCCTCAAATTAAGTGGACACTTCTGATGACGTATCACGAGTTAACACTTGCAGAGAGGAATTAATTAATTTTAAATGGACCGTTCTTGCCTGGAAATTCGTCAGTCGTTCGTCCCACGGTTGTGTTTTCAGTCATCATGGAACCACCGGTAGCTGTCGTGTGTGATTTATATGAGCTACAGTCAATTATGATTGCATTTCATATCTTGGCTAGAAGACAACGCATCCGCAGACATCGAATACTAGCCATCCGATGGTATCAGGTAAATCGAAAATTAAAATGTATAAGTGTCATGTCAGGGAAAGTTATGCGCTAGCTAACGTTTCCAAAAGCTAATCAAACAAAAACATCATTACTTTTAGGAGAGGTGTTTGTGCCGTCATAGCAACACCATTTCTAACTTATTTACATTTGTTTTTACTTACACTTGTATGTTGACTTCTCCATATTGATGTTTAGTTTAAAGTTTTAGCTGAATTTTCTTAGTGATGTACAATCATCCCAAAATTGAATTATGGGGCATTTCAGGCCCTGGAGTGAACAGAATTGTACACTCGCACTCGATCACAAACGAGGGATGAGGGACTTACCTTGCCAAACTTCCCTTGCTTGGCTAATTGTTTGGATCGAACGCAAAGATGGCCGCGGGGATTTCCCCCAAGGGCGTAAGGCGAGGGTAAGTGGATGTGTCTTTTACGTGTTTGGGTTGTGAAAGCGGCAGAGCTACTGCGCTGTTTCTCAGGAACAGGCGACATCCCGAAAATCGGTCTTCTCACAAAAAAACGTCTGTAGCGTCACGAATACGATGGTGTTCTTCGTAAAGATTATGTATGTGGCTATGTGAGAAGTGTACGATGATAAGGGTCATGTGCAATGTATGTATTATGTTGTGTGTAATGTTCAGTGTCTATTTTGTATACAGCAGTACTGTGTATCTAAGACAGTTTTCCCCTTGGGACATTAAAGTTCATCCTATCCTCTGTATAATTTACTAAATCATCATAAACATGAAAAAAAAAATGACTCGCCTGTATTTTGTACCAATTGACAGCAACACATAAAAGGTATTTTTTTTAGGGAACTATCGCTTTATTACAATATTATAAGATTGTCAAAAATATATAATTAAGATACTTCTCAAAATATGTCAATCAATCATGTAAAAAATGTCTGGTTACAGTTTACATTTTAGTCATTTAGCAGACGCTCTTATCCAGAGCGACTTACAGGAGCGATTAGGGTTAAGTGCCTTGCTCAAGGGCACATCGACAGATTTTTCACCTAGTCGGCTCGGGGATTAGAACCAGCGACCTTTCGGCTACTGGCACAACGCTCTTAACCACTAAGCCACCTGCCGATGTTTACTGCACCTGTCATCATATTCCGTATGTTATCGTAACGCTGCTCCAGTTGGTCTGTTGCCAAATACAAGCTCTGAGGCCATATATTACACAGTATACTGGAAATAACGTTTCCTACCCCATTTATGGAAATCACTGATTGACTCAGTATCCATTTTTGCAAATTTCTGTAAACATTTTCAGTTTTGTCACCCCTCCCTGCTAAAAGTAATGACTAAATGTTCCACCCTTAAATATAGTTGTGAAATGTTCTTGTTTTAAGTATGATTAGTACTTTCTTAGTAGTGACTAATTATTACACTCTGAAACTGTGAGATGTGTTAGAATCTACTACCTGGTAATGTGTGAGTGTAGGACCAGTAAAGATTATGACATTGTGTTACTATTTAGCAATGTGAGTAAGAGTTAGGCCAGACAACAAAGGACAAGGAGAACTGGCTAGAGGCAACTGAGAAACCAAGATAAAGAGGCCTCCCAATTTAGGGAGGAGAGAGACTGTTAGGCTTGTGTGTGTGTGTGTGTGTGTGTATGTGTGTATGTGTGTGTGTGTGTGTGTGTGTGTGTGAACTGATGGTCAGGAGAGCAGTTTTAAAGTGGAAAACTACAGCCCGCCTACAGAGGGGTGGGATTTTTGTATGACGTGTGCGTATAAAAATATTGTACGACCATTTTGTGGCAGAATTCTCAATGAATAAAGATCTCTGACTATTGCAACTGGGAGCTCTGTCCGTTTCTTGATCCAAAAGCCTTACAACCTTTTGGGAGACAACACAGAGACACTGAAATAGTTTGTTAAATAATTCTCATAACAAGGGAACACTTATACAGGTACTGATGAGGGGATATGAACCAGGTGTGTGTAATAATCCAAAAACAAATGGAATGATGAGATGAGGAGCGGCAGTGGCTAGAAGGCCGGTGACGACGAACGCCGAAGCCTGCCCGAAACAAGGAGAGGAGGCAGCTTCAGAGGAAGTTGTGACACACACACACACACACACACACACACACACACACACACACACACACACACACACACTATTGCTTCGCAGTCCAGACAGATTTAGGGTCATTAAATATTGCGTGGCTGAAGTGCGGGCGGTTATGAATAAAGAGAAACAATACCTTAGAAAATCCATAAATGTATAATTCTTGTGCAATTTATATCTATAGGCTACATTTAGGTTTTTCTTTCATTTTTTTTTAGGTTATCTGGTATTAATACATAAGCCTAAACTTTAGGGCTTAAATGTACGTGCGTCAAATAGCCTACACAGCCAATTGCAGTGCCGGCTATGTTATGTGTGATGATTGTGAGGCGCTATACAAATTCGACAGTCACAAGATGTGACTTCAAATAGGCCTATGGCACGATCAAGGGAACTGTAGCCTACTGTTTAGATGGGTTACATGGAAACTGAAATCTGGACACTGACTATAGGCGTATAACCTCTCACATAACCTTAATAATAACTCCAGCAGAATTAAGCATTTCTTGCAGTAAAATTATACACCAAATGTAGACAAAATTTGGACTTGGGAACAGTGGAGAAATATGATTTATTTATTTCTGCATCTTGAGAGAATGCAATGCTCAGGTAGATACAATCTGCAGAGGTGCTGTCTTCATCATAAAAGCATCTGCTCTGGGGACAGTCCAAGCTGGTACCAGTGGGCTATGGCATCAAGAAGCTGCAGATCGGGGGGTGTGGTGGAGGACGACAAGGTGGGAACAGACCAGCTGGAAGAACAGATCACAGCCTTCGAGGACTATGTCCAGTCTATGGATGTGGCTGCGTTCAACAAGATCTAAAACTCAAAACACTTATCAACAAAGACACTGAGCACCTTGGAGCCGCAATAAAAAGGCACTTCAGATGGAAAATGTTTGTCGCTAGTTGCATTCTGACAAAAGTTGTTCTGTCAGTGTGTTGTTTATGTAGCTTTTTGAGGGAAGACTTGGGTGTTGGGGACAACTCGGATGGTGACTTGCATTCTCCATTGAGGGTCCTAAACGTGCAATATGCTGAAATCGCTCTGCCATTTCCTGGTTGCTAAAACAAGCTGTGTCATTGTACCATCTAAACCGCTGTGAAATACATACTCAATAACAAAAAATATTGTATTTTCAGCTGTCTAATGGTAGTGTGCTAAACGGGAACCATAGAAATGGCGCCATTGGTTCGTTGGGCAAATTCTATTTAGAAAATTATTGGCTGTTTTGGGAGAAACGCCAAATGTAGCAGGTGGTAAACACCTGCTTAGATCTTATGTTCTGAGGCATCAGCTAACATAAATTATACAATGTAATAAGCACAAAGGCTTCATAATTCATAAAGGTCATGGTAACTGACTGCCATCTCAGACGACAAGTATAAGATCTGGGACTTACCTCAGACATTATTTTCAGCGTTTATTCCAAAACACTTATTTCGCCGTAGGGATGGCTGAACGAACCCCAGTTAACTCGTTTTTTTGGAGCACAAGCTGGCGTGCTCTGAGTGACACATTTATAAAACAATTCTATGTGAATTTGTTCCGGTCGCCCAAAAAAAGTGACATTGTAGCAACTATTTATTCTGAAATGTTTGACCATAGTGATGAAGGGCATAGCTCAGATTCATTACAATTTGTAAGTCGCTCTGGATAAGAGCGTCTGCTAAATGATGTAAATGTTAAAAATGTAAATGTATTCATAAAAACGGATAGTATTTTAACCATATAAAATATGCATCAAAGCTGAACTGAAATCAGAAACACGTTGGGTCGTTTGACAGCTTTATTTTTCCTTACAACCGGTCAAACTGATGTCATTTGGACATTTTGCACAGAAAATAAGTATTTATTTTTTTCATATATTTTTTTGCGTTATTGAATTTTCTCCCCTAAATCTAATTATAGACAAGTTGACAAAAAAAAGCCTTCCAAAATATCGGAAATTATAAGCAGAAACTAAATCAGGCAAAAAAGAATCCTACACCCCCCTGTCAAAAAATCGTTCTGCCGTCTTTGACTATAGTCTATAGCGCATGTTCTATATTTTCGGGTTGGGTGGGGCCTCAGATTTTCACATGTAGTCGGGCGGTTGCGGATGGGTTATTAGCAATTGCGGGTGTGTGCAGAAACAGCACCACACACACACACACACACACACACACACACACACACACACACACTTCTAAGGACAGGAGGAACTCGTGACTACACTTGAGGCGGTCTGCTGGCTCCGTCAATATTCTGACTGAACTAAATCAGTACGCGCGCAACTCCAGTCGGTGCAGTGACGTCATGTGGGAGTGGTCTCAGCCCCGGGAGTGGGACCGCACCTCCGAGGCTCCGCCAATCCGAGAGGAAACCGGCTTCTCTTGAACCCAGATGGCTTCTGCTGATATATAACCCTCACGTCTGGGGCTGATACAATAGTCGAAGGAGATAACTTATGGGTGTCGTCATTTAGACAAGCTCGAGGAGAAGCATCCTTTTTCTATACGTAATCAAGGCGCAAAGAAACAACGGACACTCTTATCTTTTTTGAATTGTATAAAGATCCAGACTATTTATTTGGTGAGTCATTATTCATTTTAATGTATTACGTTAAATTGGGATTTTATTCACATTTCTTGAAGCAGAATTGACAGTTACATGGGAGAACATTTAGTTTTTTATTCTGACGCAAATTAGGACTTTTATTTTAAGGGCGTATTATAAATAACGTTATTATAGACACTGTGGCTTATTGCTATTACTTCTCGAAACTAGCAATCTAGTAGAATTAAAGCAACTCGATCGATTCCACTGTTGGCACAACTAATCTTCGCGCAAAAAAATGTATCCTAAGCAAATAAGAAAACAGAGAGAAGAAGAAATAACACTAATGCTTGAAATGAAACCTTGCCAATGTGGCTTATAGCCTTTCGCTTATGTGGCATATATACTGGGGTTTGTTCGGTATAGGCTTTTCCAATCACTCCCGGGACACCGTTCATATGACCCAGGGTGAGGAGTAGCCCAAAGCCCGGCAGATGGCGATATTGAGTAGTTTCATCTTACCGTCCAAAGGCAATGCATGCAGCCGGCTATACACTTATCCCCCGTGGACCAGTTCCTTACATAAAACATTCTCCGTTCAACTACAAAGGCATCGATTTCCTCAACTGGATTTAATGGGGAGAAGGCGGGAAAAACAACCGATTGGCTGAAAGTGATATGCAACATCCGGGACTAGCATTAGCTATTCTAGCATGGTGGTGGTAAACAGTGTTTCATAAAGAAAGTATTTTACATATTTTGCCCGTTTTTTTTATCTCGCCTTCTCTCTATTAAATAGAGTTAAGGAGGAAATTGACGCCTTTGCAGCTTGTATAGCCGCCTGCATGCATTCCCTTTGGATAGTAAGATGAAATGACTCAATATCGCACATCAATATATTATAGGTGCTTCTACATCTGCATTGCTTGCTGTTTTGGGGTTTTAGGCTGGGTTTGTGACATCTGCTGATGTAAAAAGGGCTTTATAATTACAATTTGATTGATTGATTGATATGTACATATCTAGGCCTACTTCAATTACCTCCTACCCCTGCACATTGACTCAGTACCGCTACCCCGTGTATATAGCCAAGTTATCGTTACTCATCGTGTATTTATTATTACTTTTATTATTACGTGTTATTGCTTTTCTATTATTTCTCTATTTTCTCTCTCCTTGCATTGTTGAGAAGGACCCGTAAAATAAGCATTTCACTGTTAGTCTACACCTGTTGTTTACGAAGCATGTGACGAATACAATTTGATTTGAAACTCACGATCTATGGAAACGTTTTGGCATTTACTTGGTAAAGTAAGATACAGAAATGAAACACATCCTTCTGTGTTCTAGAAGCTATAATCTACTTCATAGTGATGCTGCAACAAACAAACAAAAAAAAAAAACATTGGCTGGGCTGGGCCTTAGCATGTAGGAATGCTGTGTTTATATAGCCAGTCATTGGCTGGGCTGGGCCTTAGCATGTAGGAATGCTGTGTTTATATAGCCAGTCATTGGCTGGGCTGGGCCTTATCCTATAGGAATGCTGTGTTTATATAGCCAGTCATTGGCTGGGCTGGGCCTTATCCTATAGGAATGCTGTGTTTATATAGCCAGTTCTTGGCTCAACGTGGTCTCAGAGCATTTCGTATTATTCTGTACATAAATCCGAGACCCTCTATTTAGTGGAGGTTACATTTCATATGGTAGGCTATGTATTTATTTCTGGATGTCTATCATCCTTTCCGGATGATATGTTATGAATTACAAGTCGTATGATATGTTACAAATTGTTATTCGTAAAATATATGTTACAAATTGCAATTTGTACAATATGTTACGAATTTGCTAAATGTTCAAACGGTACGAATTTGCAAAACGCATAATATGTTACGAATTCAAATTTGTTGTGGCTAATGTTAGCTAGGTGGCTAAAGCTAACGTTAGCTAGAACTAGGGGTTAAGGTTAGGGGAAGCCAACACGGTAAGTACAGTTGAAGTCGGAAGTTTACATACACCTTAGCCAAATATATTTAAACTCAGTTTTTCACAATTCCTGACATTTAATCCTAGTAAAAATTCCCTGTTTTAGATCAGTTAGGATCACCACTTTATTTTAAGAATGTGAAATGTCAGAATAATAGTAGAGAGAATGATTTATTTCAGCTTTTATTTCTTTCATCACATTCCCAGTGGGTCAGAAGTTTACATACACCCAATTAGTATTTGCTAGCATTGCCTTTAAATTGTCTAACTTGGGTCAAACGTTTCGGGTAGCCTTGCACAAGCTTCCCACAATAAATTGGGTGAATTTTGGCCCATTCCTCCTGACAGAGCTGGTGTAACTGAGTCAGGTTTGTAGGCCTCCTTGCTCGCACACGCTTTTTCAGTTCTGCCCACAAATTAGGATTGAGGTCAGGGCTTTATGATGGCCACTCCAATACCTTGACATTGTTGTCCTTAAGCCATTTTGCCACAACTTTGGAAGTATGCTTGGGGTCATTGTTCATTTGGAAGACCCATTTGCGACCAAGCTTTAACTTCCTGACTGATGTCTTGAGATGTTGCTTCAATATATCCACATCATTTTCCTTCCTCATGATGCAGTCTATTTTGTGAAGTGCACCAGTCCGTCCTGCAGCAAAGCACCCCCACAGCATGATGCTGCCACCCCCGTGCTTCACGGTTGGGATGGTGTTCTTCGGCTTGCGAGCGTCCCCCTTTTTCCTCCAAACATAACGATGGTCATTATGGCCAAACAGTTCTATTTTTGTTTCATCAGACCAGAGGACATTTCTCCAAAAAGTACGATATTTGTTCCCATGTGCAGTTGCAAACCGTAGTCCGGCTTTTTAATGGCGGTTTTGGAGCTGTGGCTTCTTCCTTGCTGAGTGGCCTTTCAGGTCATGCCGATATAGGACTCGTTTTACTGTGGATATAGATACATTTGTACCTGTTTCCTCCAGCATCTTCACAAGGTCCTTTGCTGTTGTTCTGGGATTGATTTGCACTTTTTGCACCAAAGTACGTTCATCTCTAGGAGACAATACGCGTCTCCTTCCTGAGCGGTATGACGGCTGCGTGGTCCCATGGTGTTTATACTTGCGTACTATTGTTTGTACAGATGAACGTGGTACCTTCAGGAATTTGGAAATTTCTCCCAAGGATGAACCAGACTTGTGGAGGTCTACAATTTTATTTCTGAGGTCTTGGCTGATTTCTTTTGATTTTCCTATGATGTCAAGCAAAGAGGCACTGAGTTTGAGGTAGGCCTTGAAATACATCCACAGGTACACCTTCAATTGACTCAAATGATGTCAATTAGCCTATCATAAGCTTCTAAAGCCATGACATCATTTTCTGGAATTTTTCAAGCTGTTTAAAGGCACAGTCAACTTAGTGTATGTAAACTTCTGACCCACTGGAATTGTGATACAGTGAATTATAAGTGAAATAATCTGTCTGTAAACAATTGTTGGAAAAATTACTTGTGTCATGCACAAAGTAGATGTCCTAATCGACTTGCCAAAACTATTGTTTGTTAACAAGACATTTGTGGAGTGGTTGAAAAACAAGTTTTAATGACTCCAACCTAAGTGTACGTAAACTTCCGACTTCAACTGCATATACATAGCATTCACACTGATATAGGGGCTAGGCCTACTGTAAATTACATTATGGCTGAGCATGGACATGCCAAACATTGTCAATAAGCAAGATTACATTTATTATTGATAAGCTCTACAAAGAGAAAGAATAATTCTAATCAAATTCAAAACAAAAAAAACTGTAGGTGCAAAGTAGTAAGTAGTTGCTAATTAGCTAAAATGCTAAAGTTGTCTGTGATGAGATTTGAACACACAACCTTTGGCTTGCTAGACGTTCTCACTGGCTCAATGTGTTAGGCTTGGCTCAACAGATGGAGATTGATGAGGCCGCTAATTTGCCTACAAGAGGAATTCGTTCAGTGTGTAAAATGAGTACCTAGGACAGTTGCAACTGTGGGAAAATGAGGCCAATGACTACATGGCTATATGTTTGGAGATTCTTGGCAGACGCAGACCAAATGAACAGCCTTTATTGAATTAGACAAATGAGACTGAGTGAATGAGACTAGGCCTACTTGGATAGAGTTAGATACATTACAAAGCAACTGGCACTTGTTATTGGATCTGACATGGGTCTATCTGACTGAGTTAAACCTATGTGTATTACAGTGCTATTTCAGTGCTATTTCAGTGCTATTTCAGTGCTATTTCAGTGCTATTTCAGTGCTATTACAATGCTATTTCAGTGCTATTTCAGTGCTATTACAATGCTATTTCAGTGCTATTTCAGTGCTATTTCAGTGCTATTTCAGTGCTATTTCAGTGCTATTACACTGCTATTTCAGTGCTATTTCAGTGCTATTTCAGTGCTATTACAGTGCTATTTCAGTGCTATTTCAGTGCTATTTCAGTGCTATTTCAGTGCTATTTCAGTGCTATTTCAGTGCTATTTCAGTGCTATTTCAGTGCTATTACACTGCTATTTCAGTGCTATTTCAGTGCTATTTCAGTGCTATTTCAGTGCTATTTCAGTGCATACTGTACATCCGACTACAAGCATAGGCCTATGGAGAATTTTTAAAAATCTTGATTATTTAGCATTTCAAGTCAGTTCTGAGAGGGGAACAGGAATCCCAGTGCCCTAAACCGTTTCCTATATGTCTCTTAATCTCATCCCACTTGGCAAAAACTGGTTTAATCAACTTTGCTTCTACGTCATTTCAACAACAAAAATCAATTGAATCGTTGAATCAATGTGGAAAACTAATTGCAGGGGAATTTCGTATTTTTCCCCCACATAACTTGTAACCTAAATCCAATTACACGGTGACAAGTTTTGTTGATTTCACGTTGAATTTGCTTTAGTTGAAAACTCAACCAAATGTAAATCAAAACTAGAGGTTGAACTGACGTCTGTGTCCAGTGGGGATCTGTCTGGTAAACCTTGAAAAGTTTGTAGCCAATGTCACCATGCAGCCACGGTCTGTTTCCATGCACGCTAGCCTCGTATACACTCCTCTGTCACTGATTGGCTAAAAGAGTGAAGGCAGGGTTGCTGATTGGCTAAGAGAGTGAAGGCTGGGTCGCTGATTGGCTAAGAGAGTGAAGGCAGGGTCGCTGATTGGCTAAGAGAGTGAAGGCAGGGTCGCTGATTGGCTAAGAGAGCGAAGGCAAGGCAGTATAATTGTACCTTAAATGTACTTTTCGTTCCTTTCGGAAGCTTATCCGACTTTAAGGTAAGAGCCAAGCAAAATGGAAAATATATTATTCTCTGAGCAATAAATAGACATTCATTAAATGTATGACTAGCATGTCCATTTAGTGCAGCAGGTCTAGGGTATGGGTTATGCTGTAGTAGGCCTAACCATGGATTTCGCTTTGCTTCGTTTTTAGGTTGAAAGGATACTTTGTCTCACTTGCGCTCAATTTGATAGTCCAATAAAGCTAATGGCCTTGGAAACAATGTAGCAACTAGGAAATTGCATCAGCAAGTTGTTGAAATTAATTTGCGTTACAATGTAACCAAATGTAATCTCTATAGAATGACAGAACTAATGATGAGTGCCTAATTCTACGGAGCCCCTTAGAGGTCATGGTGGAGCCAGCCTAATCCGTTCCCTCTTTTCTTTTTTTATCCATTCACTCTGACTTGTATGTAGGCTACCATGATGGTCCCACTTGGCCGATAACATACAGTACCAGTCAAAAATGTGGACACACCTACTCATTCAATGGTTTTTCTTTATTTGTACTATTTTCTACATTGTAGAATAATAGTGAAGACATCAAAACGATGAAATAACACATATGGAATCATGTAGTAACCAGAAAAGTGTTAAACAAATGAAAATATATTTGAGATTCTTCAAGGTAGCCACCCTTTGCCTTGATGACAGCTTTGCACACTCTTGGCATTCTCTCAACCAGCTTCACGTGGAATGCTTTTCCAACAGTCTTGAAGGAGTTCCCACAAATGCTGAGCACTTGTTGGCTGCTTTTCCTTCACTCTGTGGTCCAACTCATCCCAAACCATCTCAATTGGGTTGAGGTCAGATGATTGTGGAGGCCAGGTCATCTGAAGCAGCACTCCATCACTCTCCTTCTTGGTCAAATAGCCCTTACACAGCCTGGAGGTGTGTTGGGTCATTGTCCTGTTGAAAAACAAATGATAGTCCCACTAAGCCCAAAGCAGATGGGATGGCGTATCGCTGCAGAATGCTGTGGTAGCCATGCTGGTTAAGTGTGCCTTGAATTCTAAATAAATCACTGACAGTGTCACCAGCAAAGCACCCCCACACCATCACACCTACTTAAATATACTTAAATCTATGGCAAGACCTGAAAATGGTTGTCTAGCATTGATCAACAACCAATTTGACAGAGCTTGAAGAATTTAAAAAAGGATAATGAGCAAATATTGCACAATCCAGGAATGGAAAGCTTTTAGAGACTTACCCAGAATGACTCACAGCTGTAATGGCTGCCAAAGCTGCTTCTACAAAATATTGACACAGGGGTGTGAATACTTATGTAAATTAGATATTTCTGTATTTCATTTTCAATCAATTTGCAATTTTTTTTTTACTTTGTCATTCTGGGGTATTGTGTGCAGATGGGTGAGAAAAAATAAATATTTAATCAATTTTTAATTCAGGCTGTAACACAACAAAATGTGGAATAAGTCAAGGGGTGTGAACACTTTCTGAAGGCGCCGTAGGTAGCAGCCTGAATCACACTGTGGCTTCGTCCCAAATGGCACCCTATTCCCTGATAAGGCTCTGGTCAAAAGTAGTGCACTAGATAGGGAATAGCAGGGTGCCATTTGGGACAAAGACTGTGGCGTAACTAAATTATGCCACGACTGCTGAGCAAGCACAGCGCTCGCTCTCTCATTCCAATCCTGCTAGAGGTCACATTTTTTTCCACGTCTCTTTTCTCGGAATCGTGTGAGTTCCCGGGCATGTCCAGTGTTGGTTTTGGCACGGCAAACTCACAGTACTTAGTACAGTGTGTCTCTGTCATGAGACACCGGTACTGCTGCTGAGTAATTGGCACTTGGCCGTCCAAGGATGACAACATTCGAGGCCTCCTGTCCTGGGCCTGCAAATCAGCGCAAGCGAAAGCTTGATGGTGCAATGTATCTGATTGATGATCCAATATGTCAATGTTTTAATTGTATCTGTGGCTAGCAAATAAATGCATTATTATAGGTAATGTATTTCCGAACCATAAGTTTGAGTCTTTGACAACAAAAGCATTCTACCTATTTGTAAAGTATTCAGGTGAGTGGGGTCCTTACACTGTCCTCGTCCTCCTCCTTTAGGTGACTGTGAAGATGCCTGTTATCAGAACACTCAGCAAGGTGGCTAAGCACGCCCTCCTGAGCTCAGGATGTGGATGTCAGCCAATCACAGTGGCCGTACGGACCATCAGCTTCTCGCCCCGCCAGGTCACCTCGGACGCCAGCTTCCACTCCGTGTCCTTCTCCGAGACAGACCATCCCAAGGTGCTCATCACAGGTAAGACCAATCAATGAATCACTCAGTTAAGAGTTCCAGAGAGATCACCTGGGGGAAGAAACAAAACGCAATAGTATCTCTTATCAATGATCAGCTCTAACGACTGTCAAGCTAGCTGTATTCTGTGGAGACGAACCTCTCAATAACACAATCTATCTCTGAAGAAGCTTTGTCTAACTGAACATTAACAAGGATTCTCAAGCAACAGACAGCATAGCTCTATTTGTGGGAAGCCAACCTTAATTACACAACCTCACAACCTAACACAATAGGACCTCTATCTATGGTTTATCTAAGCAAAGAAGCTTTGTCTAACTAAACCTAAACAAGACTCCCAAGCAACAGATAGCTGTATTTATGAAGAGGTTGGTTTGTTGTGTGAAGGGAACATCACAGTGTTTTACAACAGGACCAGAACAGAACAGCTATAGGCATGAAACCGATATAGCTTCTCTACACCTGATGGAACCCTTTCCCACGGAACCCGTGTATGTGGGTTGAACGATAACGTCTCTGAGTCCCAAAAATAAGTTTAACTTCCCCTTCTTCTCGTTTTAAACGGGGGAAAAAAGGAAAGGGGGGAAAGCGAGAGGGAGCAAAAGGGGGAAAAAGCTGAAAGAAGGGGGGAGCGAAAAGGGGGCCAAAAGGAAAAGGGGGGGAAGAGAAAAATGGGAAAAAAAGGGGCGGGGAGGGGTAGAAAAAAAGAAAAGGGGAAAAGGAGAAAGGGGAAAGAAAAAAAAAAAAAAAAAAGAGAAAGGAAAAAACGAAAAAAAAAAAGGGGGCCAAAGGGGGAAAAAAAAGAAACAAAAGGGGGCCCCCTTCCCTTTTTCCCCAACCCCCCTTTTTTTCCCCCTTTTTTTTTCCCCCCTTTCCTTTTCTCTCTTGGTTCTTTCCCCCGCTCTCTCTCTCTCCTCTCTCTCTCTCTTTTCTCTCTCTCTCTCCTCTCTCTTGTCTATCTCTCCTATCTCTCCCTCCCCCTCTCTCTCTCTCTCTATCTCAGGTGGCCTTGGAACAGTTGGGGGTAGGGCTGGCTAAAAGGTTGAGGTAAGACCACTACAGTGTCCTGTAATAGAGTATACTTGCCTTTCTACAGCGGTTGATGTTTAACAGTATATACATTCATTTAGGATCATATTTGGATGCTTATTATTAGTACCTAATCTAGGTCCCACTTAAAACAAACTACAACTTCAAAATACTTTATATAGCATACATAAAGGCTTCATAGCACTGTGGTAACCCAGTAATCGTAGCCTTTACGAGGGAATGTTTTAGTCAAGTTTCCTCTTCTTCTTCTTGTGTTTAAATGTAACTTCCTGTTTCATAGGAAGCGGTTTGGAAACAACAATGTAATCCTGTCAGATATCAGGAAGCCTCCAAGCCATGTTTTCCACAGCGGTGAGTGATACACAACATGTCAACACAATATACCCTCTCAGACCTGCTACACACAACATGTCAACACAATATACCCTCTCAGACATTAATACACAGGGCCGTATGTTTCAAGGGTCTCAGAGTAGGAGTGCTGATTCAGGATCAGTTTAGCCTTTTAGATCACAGTGAATAACTAAGACTACATATAATGAATCAGACTACATGGACATGGAGGGACCTGATCCTGGATCAGCACACTTAAACCCTTAGAGGATTACTCCATGAGGTGAGACTACAGGCACACAATGGCAGTGTGTTGAAGTAGGATGGTGGAGCCGCCTGGTTTACTGCTGAGCTACTGAAGTAGACTGGGGTATCTATCTACCGATTTGGCTGTATTTGCATCACACTGGGTTGACGTCAGACTAGGTTGTTCTAGGTTGTTCATTCACCAGACTATGTAAATATTCTGTTGGCGTGTTGATCAACTCACAAGCCAGCGGCTAAATTACGTCATTACTAGGGCTGTTGCGGGTGACCGTATTACCGCCACACCGGCGGTCACGAGTCATGAAGGCGGTCAAATTCCACGTGACCATTTAGTCAATAACTAGGCTTCTCCAAGCTCTGATGCTGCTGATGGTCATTAGTAGCCTACCAAACTTGCTAACTGCCTGGTACTCAGCACTCTATTGTCCTTCTAATCACTCTGACATCAATGCAAATGTCTTCGAAAGTCTAATCAAACACTATATGAGAGCCCATGAGCTCATGTTGCGCAACATTTCTATAGGCTATGCAATAGTGTGAGAAAACAGAGTGATGGCCTCTATTAAAAAGAGGAGGATCCCATCAGCTTTCTATAGGCTAGACCTACTATATTTATTTCTCAACTTTCCTAATATTAAGCACATTGCTTCTCTTTACAACAGGAGTATAGCCTACCTGCCAGCCTACCTGGCTGGCATGAAAATGAACCACAGGAAAAGCGTCCTCCATTCGCTATTTAAGTGCATAGATGGCATGTATTTTTTCCCCCTGCCCCTGTTTCGATACAGGTGCATGATAATGGTCCATTCTAAATCAAAACAAATTTCACTCATATATTATTTAGTAAATGTAAAGATTAAATCAAGAATAGTCTGATGGGTGACAATGTTAGCCTATCACCTCTGAATGATATATTATCACTTGTGAATGATGCCCAGCATAAGTCAAGAAACAATGTCTTTTTTTGTGACTTTTTCTAAATCATAGTCGCACACCTCATGTAGCCTAGCCCATAGGCTTGTATGTTTTGATAATGTTTGTATCACAACTAAAGTGGCCAAATAACTGCTTAAAATGAAGCACGTTAATCCGCTTTACAACGGGGTGTAGAGCCTAACTGGCATACATAAGCAGCGGGTGAGTTTCAAGTTTGGGGAAGATAATTTTCACCATAAAAAATGCACCTTTATAATAAAAGCATTACATGCATACTTGCATTTGTGGTGACTTTTGATAATGGTGTTTTCAGCTAATGGAACATTTGCGCTTATAGCTGTCACGTCTCCTCCCGTTGCTCCCCTCCGGTGCTCTGATTCGCCACCTCGGCAACACCGGAATGGAAACCCAACGCACCCTAATCACTTCCAGCGCACCTGCACCTCATCATCTCATCACCACCCCTATATAGCCCTGGACTGTTCAGTGTAGTGTAGTGTAGTGTAGTGTAGTGTAGTGTAGTGTAGTGTAGTGTAGTGTAGTGTAGTGTAGTGTAGTGTAGTGTAGTGTAGTGTAGTGTAGTGTAGTGTAGTGTTGTGTGTGATTGTTAGTGTCATGTCGTGTACTCGCTCTTTGTTGTTCTCTTGCTCAGTGTTAAGTAAACCTTTACATTGTTGATTCCTGCATTTGCATCCTGCCTCTTCGTATCCTCAGTACTCGTCACAATAGCTTACTACCATTTGCGCATTGCTTCACTTATATTGTGAAGAAATAGCCTAATAGTTTATCAACATTTTAAGCTAAACGTTCTGATCTGTTGCATCAGCCTCATTGCATAAAAAAAGGTTTTTTGATGCTAGTGGTTGTATTAATTTGAGATCTTTCACATCCCACAACTGTCCCTGACTATGTTTGGAATATTTATTTCTCGCACAGAATAGAATAGGTCGACTGTTGTACTATGGGGGATAGTAGATTGACATAGGCTAGTGCTTTTGCTGTTCGTTAGGCCAACTCATCTTGTTGACTGACGAAAAGTAAATGTGGACAGTTCTTCCAATATCTTCAATATGCACCTCGGAATTGGATAAGGACGCACGCAGTTGCTTCCCCGATGTGTCTGTCTTCACTTGTAGCCTGTGAGAAAGACCCGATCACGTGATGTAGCGTGCAGAACTCAGGGAGAGGGGCACAAAGGCATAGATGTTTTTTTGTTTTTTTATGACCACACAAATGCCGCCGTGAAATTCTAGGATTTATCAAGTGCTTGTCAAATTGACAAGTCGCATCATGCAGCCTTACAATGTATTAAAAATCAAAACATATAGCCCAACGTTTGTAGAACAACTAAAGTTACATTAATAACTCTAAATTAAGCATATAGGAGGACCTATTTCTTTGTTAACTTCTACGGGATCGGTGTCCCGTATACGGGACGGTTGAGCAAACGTGCGCTAATGTGATTAGCATTACTGTTGTAAGTATCAGCAAACCTTCCAGGACATAGACGTGTCTTATATGGGCAGAAAGCTTAAATTCTTGTTAATCTAACTGCACTGTCCAATTTACAGTAGCTATTACAGTGACAAAATACCATGCTATTGTTTGAGGAGAGTGCACAACAACAAGAAACGTATCACGGCAACTGGTTTGATACATTCATCTCTGAAGCTAAATAATGTACTTACATTCAGTAATCTTGCTCTGATTTGTCATCCTGAGGGTCCCAGAGATAAAAATGTATCATTGTTTTGTTTGATATAATCAATTTTTATATTCAAATGTAGGAACTGGGTTCTACAGTTTGAACCCCTGCTGTCTCTGGCTCCACACCCACCCCACCTGGCCATCTAAATGTGTGAAAGTTAGTGTATAAGCTAATGATCCATCATGTATGACATTCCTGGGAGTGTGTAAACTTACATTATGTATTACCATATCATTTTTGTATGTTCTCTATAGCTATGTACTTGAAAATGTATCAATTGACCAATTCGGCACATTTGGGCAGACTTGATACAAAATAGTCCAGTATTGCAATGCTTCACTGGATCAATCTAAAAACTTTGCACACACACTGCTGTCATCTAGTGGCCAAAATCTAAATTGCGCCTAAACTGCAATATTATATTGTGGCCTTTCTCTTGCATTTCAAAGAGGATGGAACAATATTTTTTTTTGAAAATTCTTGTATGCTAAATGAACTAGTGCAGCCCACAGCCATATGGCTTAGCCAGATCAGGACCTAATATAAGGACAACTCAGAGTACGCTATTCTGTTCTTCTGAAATAGACTACATTTTCTTCATATCATGCTTCTTTAGACCTGTCTAAAATAAATAATGGATTTATTGTGACGGTGTAGGCTATATTACATGGATTTATTAGACTTTTTTAAATGTAGATGTTCCAAAAGGTCTGCATCAGTGGCTTGTAGGCTATGAGTGGAAGCCAGGAGATGCTAAATATGTTTATGTTAATTAACGGTCAATTACCGTGAGACCGACAGTTATTTGCTTGACAATCACCGGCTGACTAAATTTCGGGACCGCCACAGCCCTAGTTGTTACAACCAGGAAGGAAGCCTTAACCTGATTCCTGTTTGGCTAACATTACATTTATTAATTCATTCATTCGGGAGAATGTAAACTTGTCCATAATTTGCTTTAAAATGTTTGAATGTTTAATAGAAAAGACATCTGGAATGTCCGTAGTTAAAATAGGGAATGATTTGGTTAGTTGTGATATTGATCCTTGTGAAAAGCTTCTTGCACAGAAGGTCATCAGGAAGTTCATGTGTTTTGAACAGTTCAAATCAAATCAAATCAAATTTTATTTGTCACATACACGTGTTTAGCAGATGTTATAGCGGGTGTAGCGAAATGCTTGTGCTTCTAGCTCCAGCAGTGCAGTAATATCTAACAAGTAATATCTAACAATTTCACAACATATACCCAATACACACAAAACTAGTAAGGAATGGGATTTAAGAATATATACATATATGGACAAGCAATGACAGAGCGGCATGGACTAAGATACAGTAGAATATTATAGAATAGAATACAGTATATACATATGAGATGAGTAGTGCAAGATATGTAAACATTATTAAAGTGACTAGTGTTCCATTTCTTAAAGTGGCCAGTGATTTCAATAGGCAGCAGCAGCCTCTAATGTGCTAGTGATGGCTGTTTAACAGTCTGATGGCCTTGAGATAGAAGCTGTTTTTCATTCTCTCGGTCCCAGCTTTGAGGCGCCTGTACTGACCTCACCTTCTGGATGATAGCGGGGGTGAACAGGCAGTGGCTCGGGTGGTTGATGTCCTTGATGATCTTTTTGGCCTTCCTGTGACGTCGGGTGCTGTATGTGTCTTGGAGGGCGGGTAGTTGGAGGTCACTGTCCAATAGGCTTGGGCGATATACCGTTTATACCGAATACAGTTGCCCCCTATTTCGAAATACCGACAGTATGAATTTCAATACCGTTAAAATTGTATATATATATATTTTTTTTGGGGGGGGGGGTTTGGGGCATCCCCGCCACCCGGGGGCTGTGTGGTACTCCACTGCTTATAACTAACTATAAGTTAAGTATAACTATAAAAAATGTAAGATGTGTCAAATATATGACATCCAGCTCATGGTTCCAGCGATGCGTTTGGTTTGCTAACTTGCTAGCTACAGTAAGTGGCTAGATGTCAAGATCCAGCTTATTGGTTACAGCAGAGACAATCAATCCCCTCCTTAATCAAGATCCCTGTTGCCTAAATTGTTTTGTGCGTAAAAAAAAAAAGGAATAGATTTTTTATAGCACAGGTAAGACTGTATATCCCAGTATGGTTCAGAAACAGTATGACGGTATGAACATCTGGATAAACCCTACTGTGATTGGCTGGTCAATAACCTGTAATGAACTGTCTACTACAATGCCTGATGAATGGTGATTGGCTGGTCAAAACTGTGTACTACAATGCCTGATGAATGGTGATTGGCTGGTCAAAATTGTCTACTACAACGCCTGATGAATGGTGATTGGCTGGTCAAAACTGTGTACTACAATGCCTGATGAATGGTGATTGGCTGGTCAAAACTGTGTACTACAATGCCTGATGAATGGTGATTGGCTGGTCAAAACTGTGTACTACAACGCTTGATGAATGGTTAGTCAATAACCTGTAATGAACTGTCTGCTACAATCACTGATGCAGGGCCAGCTAATACTAAGTCTATAGGAATTGTCCAGGGCACTGTTTAACCAACCGTTATCAAGAGTACTATTAGTGATTCTCATCCAAAATCCAGAAGACATTACAATTATACTAGGAGCTTTTACATTTACATTTCAGTCATTTAGCAGACGCTCTTATCCAGAGCGACTTACAGTTAGTGAGTGCATACATTATTTGTTTATACTGGCCCCCTGTGGGAATCGAACCCACAACCCTGGCGTTGCAAACGCCATGCTCTACCAACTGAGCTACATCCCTGCCGGTCGTTCCCTCCCCTACCCTGGATGACTTGTGCGCCGCCCCATGGGTCTCCCGGTCGCGGCCGGCTACGACAGAGCCTGGATTTGAACCAGGATCTCTAGTGGCACAGCTAGCACTGCGATGCAGTGCCTTAGACCACTGCACCACTCAGGGAGACTCTCTTTTAGTGAGAAAATTTGTTTTATATTGATGTTTATTATTTCTATGGTGCCTCCTGTTTCTCCTCAGGACCCTTCATCTACTCGGACATCCTGGACTATAAGAACCTGCGTGAGATCGTGGTGAACAACCGTATCACCTGGTTGGTCCATTACAGCGCCCTGCTCAGTGCCGTGGGAGAGGCCAACGTAGCTCTGGCACGCGACGTCAACATCACTGGTGAGCAATGGAGAAACCACCATCTTGGCTCAGCCTAGATCCTTGCCACGCCACAATTTCCTTGTAACTTCCATCCCAGGCTTAACCTAGATACACCAACACAGCACAGTTTCCTGCTAATCAAGCATGGGAGGTGCCCAGAGAGAGTAACTGTGAACTTCCTGTTCCTCAGGGCTCCACAACATCCTGGACATTGCAGCGGAGCACGGCCTGCGTCTGTTCGTCCCCAGCACCATCGGAGCCTTCGGACCCACCTCGCCCCGGAACCCGACCCCTGACCTCTGTGTCCAGAGACCCAGGACCATCTACGGAGTGTCCAAGGTCCACGCAGAGCTCATGGGAGAGGTGAGATAAAAACGCAATACAGAATACAGAAGAAATTACCAATCAGCATTCAGCCTCAAGCCATTCTACCTTATTCCAGAACCAGAATCACCTTTATTTCCCAACAACATTTACATGTACCAGGAATTTGACCTGGTGAATTTGACCTGGTGAATTTGACCCCTTCAGTCATTTGAAATCATTGGTCGTTAATGTCCCTATAAGTGAAACATCTAACCCTTATTGCCTGTCTTCCCTCCAACAGTACTACCACCACCGCTACGGCCTTGACTTCCGCTGCCTCCGCTACCCAGGCATCATCTCTGCCGACTCACAGCCTGGCGGAGGAACGACAGGTGAGTTAGAGAGACACACACCTGTCCTCCCTCCCACACACACGCCATAGCGGAACACCAGGCTCCTCACTGTCGTAACTCTATTTGAGTACAGCCTCCTGACTTCAACGTGCCGTTGACTTCAACGTGCCCTCCATTTGGCAAATCTGACCATAACTCTATCCTCCTGATTCCTGCTTATAAGCAAAAACTAAAGCAGGAAGCACCAGTGACTTGGTTAATAAAAAAGTGCTCAGATGACGCAGATGCTAAGCTACAGGACTGTTTTGCTAGCACAGACTGGAACATGTTCCGGGATTCTTCAGATAACATTGAGGAGTACACCACATCAGTCACTGGCTTCATCAATAAGTGCATCGATGATGTCGTCCCCACAGTGCCCGTACGTACATACCCCAACCAGAAGCCATGGATTACAGGAAACATCCGCACTGAGCTAAAGGGTAGAGCTGCCGCTTTCAAGGAGCGGGACTCTAACCCGGACACTTATAAGAAATCCCGCTATGCCCTCCGACGAACCATCAAACAGGCAAAGAGTCAATACAGGACTAAGATTGAATCGTACTACACCGGCTCTGACGCTCGTCGGATGTGGCAGGGCTTGAAAACTATTACAGACTACAAAGGAAAGCACAGCCGCGAGCTGCCCAGTGACACAAGCATACCAGACGAGCTAAACCACTTCTATGCTCGCTTCGAGGCAAGCAACACTGAAGCATGCATGAGAGCACCAGCTGTTCCGGATGACTATGTGATCACGCTCTCCGTAGCCGATGTGAGTAAGACTTTTAAGCAGGTCAACATTCACAAGGCCACAGGGCCAGACGGATTACCAGGACGTGTACTCCGAGCATGTGCTGACCAACTGGCAAGTGTCTTCACTGACATTTTCAACATGTCCCTGACTGAGTCTGTAATACCAACATGTTTCAACACTCAGACATCATTTACAGATAGCCAGGGGCACACTCCAACACTCAGACATCATTTACAGATAGCCAGAGGCACACTCCAACACTCAGACATCATTTACAGATAGCCAGGGGCACACTCCAACACTCAGACATCATTTACAGATAGCCAGGGGCACACTCCAACACTCAGACATCATTTACAGATAGCCAGGGGCACACTCCAACACTCAGACATCATTTACAGTAGCCAGGGGCACACTCCAACACTCAGACATCATTTACAGATAGCCAGGGGCACACTCCAACACTCAGACATCATTTACAGATAGCCAGGGGCACACTCCAACACTCAGACATCATTTACAGATAGCCAGGGGCACACTCCAACACTCAGACATCATTTACAGATAGCCAGGGTCACACTCCAACACTCAGACATCATTTACAGATAGCCAGGGGCACACTCCAACACTCAGACATCATTTACAGATAGCCAGGGGCACACTCCAACACACAGACATCATTTACAGATAGCCAGGGGCACACTCCAACACTCAGACATCATTTACAAATGAAGCGTTTGTGTTTAGTGAGTCAGATGCAGTAGGGATGACCAGGGATGTTCTCTTGATAAGTGTGTGAATTGGACCATTTTCCTGTCAAAATGTAACGAGTACTTTTGGGTGTCAGGGAAAATGTATGGAGTAAAAAGTACATTATTTTATTTAGGAATGTAGTGAAGTAAAAGTAAAAGTTGGCCAAAATATAAATAGTAAAGTAAAGTACAGATACCCAAAAACACTACTTAAGTAGTACTTTAAAGTATTTTTACTTAAGTGCTTTACACCACTGCTTATAGGAACACTTATTTCATTCCATGCATCAACCAGCTACAGTGGGGGAAAAAAGTATTTAGTCAGCCACCAATTGTGCAAGTTCTCCCACTTAAAAAGATGAGAGAGGCCTGTAATTTTCATCATAGGTACATGTCAACTATGACAGACAAATTGAGGAAAAAAAATTAAGCAAATCACATTGTAGGATTTTTTATGAATTTATTTGCAAATTATGGTGGAAAATAAGTATTTGGTCACCTACAAACAAGCAAGATTTCTGGCTCTCACAGACCTGTAACTTCTTCTTTAAGAGGCTCCTCTGTCCTCCACTCGTTACCTGTATTAATGGCACCTGTTTGAACTTGTTATCAGTATAAAAGACACCTGTCCACAACCTCAAACAGTCACACTCCAAACTCCACTATGGCCAAGACCAAAGAGCTGTCAAAGGACACCAGAAACAAAATTGTAGACCTGCACCATGCTGGGAAGACTGAATCTGCAATAGGTAAGCAGCTTGGTTTGAAGAAATCAACTGTGGGAGCAATTATTAGGAAATGGAAGACATACAAGACCACTGATAATCTCCCTCGATCTGGGGCTCCACGCAAGATCTCACCCCGTGGGGTCAAAATGATCACAAGAACGGTGAGCAAAAATCCCAGAACCACACGGGGGGACCTAGTGAATGACTGCAGAGAGCTGGGACCAAAGTAACAAAGCCTACCATCAGTAACACACTACGCCACCAGGGACTCAAATCCTGCAGTGCCAGACGTGTCCCCCTGCTTAAGCCAGTACATGTCCAGGCCCGTCTGAAGTTTGCTAGAGTGCATTTGGATGATCCAGAAGAGGATTGGGAGAATGTCATATGGTCAGATGAACCTTTTGGTAAAAACTCAACTCGTCGTGTTTGGAGGACAAAGAATGCTGAGTTGCATCCAAAGAACACCATACCTACTGTGAAGCATGGGGGTGGAAACAGCATGCTTTGGGGCTGTTTTTCTGCAAAGGGACCAGGACGACTGATCCGTGTAAAGGAAAGAATGAATGGGGCCATGTATCGTGAGATTTTGAGTGAAAACCTCCTTCCATCAGCAAGGGCATTGAAGATGAAACGTGGCTGTGTCTTTCAGCATGACAATGATCCCAAACACACCGCCCGGGCAACGAAGGAGTGGCTTCGTAAGAAGCATTTCAAGGTCCTGGAGTGGCCTAGCCAGTCTCCAGATCTCAACCCCATAGAAATTATTTGGAGGGAGTTGAAAGTCTGTGTTGCCCAGCGACAGCCCCAAAACATCACTGCTCTAGAGGAGATCTGCATGGAGGAATGGGCCAAAATACCAGCAACAGTGTGTGAAAACCTTGTGAAGACTTACAGAAAATGTTTGACCTGTGTCATTGTCAACAAAGGGTATATAACAAAGGATTGAGAAACTTGTTATTGACCAAATACTTATTTTCCACCATAGTTTGCAAATAAATTCATAAAAAATCCTACAATGTGATTTTCAGGAAAAAAAAATCTCATTTTGTCTGTCATAGTTGACGTGTACCTATGATGAAAATTACAGGCCTCTCTCATGTTTTTAAGTGGGAGAACTTGCTCAATTGGTGGCTGACTAAATACTTTTTTTCCCCCACTGTATGTGGAGCTGGCTCTCGCTGCGCAACAGATGATCTTATTCCGCTCAAACTCTGAATGTCAGGGCTCTTATGAAGTGTTCAATTAGATTTTTCGATTGCATTAACATTGATGTCACAGTGATTAGAGGGACAATAGAGCTCTGAGTACCAGGCCATTTGCGATTGGCCGTTAGCAAGTTTGGTAGGCTACCAATGACCATCAGCGGCATCAGAGCGCAGTTTTGGAGAAGCCTAGTTACCATGGAATTTAACTCGTGACCGCCGGTGTTGTGGTAATATGGTCACGGCAAAACAGCCCTATCTCAGTTTGCATAAATAGATCGAAAGTCATCAATCACTATGATCAAACCAAACCTATCTAAACCTCTCCTCCCCTCCTCCCTTACTCCAGACTACGCAGGTAGCCATATTCCATGATGCCGTCAAGACGGGGAAGTTTGAGTGCAACCTGAAGCCAGACACGCGGCTTCCCATGATGTACATCGACGACTGTCTGCGTGCCACCGTGGAGATGATGGAAGCGCCCACAGACACCCTCTCCATGAGGACCTACAACATCAACGCTATGAGCTTTACCCCTGAAGAGCTGGCTCACGAGGTCCAGAAACAGCTGCCGGACCTGGAGGTCACCTACGACATCGACCAAGTCAGACAGGCCATCGGTAAGAGCATTTTATTGATCCTTGTTTTATACTGGTTGGGTGAAATTTCAGAAGTCCTGAAAACCCAGTCGGAGGATTCCCTTCCTGCCCATTCTCTTCTGATTCTGGCAATCATCCAACCGGGATTTCTGGGAAAGCTGGGAATTCTGGGAAGGTTACCCTAATACTGGTGTGTGATACCGTTGAGATCAAAGATCGATGATCGAGGTAAACCTGTCTGAATGCGCCACTGAAGGCTCTTTTCGAGATTCTCTTGAACTTCCAAGCATTTATATTTGAGTTGAATGTAGAAACTAACAACAAAAGTCTCACGTGACAATTTGACTAACTCTTTTACAGTCTTTCGTTTAAGAAGACATTATAATACATTTGTCATAGTATGAAAATGAAAAATGTATGCACTCACTAACTGTAATTCGCTCTGGATAAGAGCGTCTGCTAAATGACTCTTACCCAGAGCGACTTACAGTTAGTGCATTCTTAAGGTAGCTAAGTGAGACAGACAACCACATATAGCTATCAGCAAAGTCCGTGCTAGTAAGAAAATACAAAAGCCATTGTCATTGTGAACCAACAGAACGGAGCGTTGACGACGTCTCCTCTTCTCTTCCTTCCCCTTTACAGCCGACAGCTGGCCGATGAACTTTGAGGACTCTAACGCGCGGAACGACTGGGGCTGGAAACACGACTATGACCTCCCGGAGCTCGTCCAGACCATGCTCAACTACATCGGCTCGGACTCGCGCGTCGCACAGGCCAACTGAGGGGCCAGCGGCGACGTGGTGCTTGAGTGGCGTTGTTGTTTCTTTGTACTGTTGTTATAGAGGACGGAGACACGTGGTTTTCTCTCTCTCTCTCTCTCTCTCTCTCCTCTCTGTGTCATTTGGAAGGGCTGTCTGTCTGTCTCTGTCTGTCTGTCTCTGTCTGTGTGGCAGAACAAGCTACTACAACGTGACGGTTGGTCGCGCGAGAAATAGCGGGCCGACTCCCCTCCTCCGGAATGAGGGGTTAGAAGACGGGGTCTTGTTTAGATGGAACTTCTCGGAGAGGTTCTCTTTATGGTCGACTTGCATGGCTATGAACTGTTCACCGTATCGTACCATTGTGACATTTTCAAGGCAAACAAAACAAAGAACGTAGCATTGGTCAACCTTAAGCGCTTGAACCCTTCCTCTCTCTGCGGAGAGCTAATGTAAAGGGTTACCTCTATGTAAAGCTAATGTAAAGGGTTACCTCTATGTAAAGCTAATGTAAAGGGGTTAACGATTCTATCATTCTTTTGCCAAGAGCTGAGAATTCAGGTAAATGTACGGCCATAATCACATTAAGTTAAAGTTTTAGATTAAGAGCTTCACTGGTATAAACATTGTAATTTGATGCACTTTAAAGCAAGAGAGGACGATTGAAACCCTTTTAAAAATCATTGAACAGTTTTTAACTCTGTTTTGTGTGTGTTTAACATCGAGTACCAGCTCACATTTTTCTATAACTTTATTTTACGTTATTTTAGCTGTTTTATTCCACTTATTTTGCATTCTTCTATTTATTCTGTCTGCTGGTGATTAACTGAGTGGGAATCAGGTGATAACTGAGTGGGAATCAGGTGATAACTGAGTGGGAATCAGGTGATTAACTGAGTGGGAATCAGGTGATTAACTGAGTGGGAATCACGTTGAGTCAATGTGCTTCTTGCACTTCTTGTATGTAAAGCGTGAATGAATGGTCCACAGCTCCTCTGGAGCGCTTGGGTGCGTCTCAAATGACACCCTATTCCCTAGATAGTGTCACCCTATTCCCTAGATAGTGTTACCCTATTCCCTAGATAGTGTTACCCCTATCCCTAGATAGTGTACCCTATTTCCTAGATAGTGCACCCTATTTCCTAGATAGTGCACCCTATTTCCTAGATAGTGTCACCCTATTTCCTAGATAGTGCACCCTATTTCCTAGATAGTGTACCCTATTTCCTAGATAGTTGTCACCCCTATTTCCCCTAGATAGTGTCACCCTATTCCCTAGATAGTGTCACCCTATTCCCTAGATAGTGTCACCCTATTCCCTAGATAGTGTTACCCTATTCCCTAGATAGTGTCACCCTATTCCCTAGATAGTGTCACCCTATTCCCTAGATAGTGTTACCCTATTCCCTAGATAGTGTCACCCTATTCCCTAGATAGTGTTACCCTATTCCCTAGATTAGTGTTACCCTATTCCCTAGATAGTGTCTACCATTCCCAAATTGCCCACCCTTTCCCCCAAGATAGTGTCCCCCTTTCCTAGTAGGGGCCCCCTACCCCTGAAGGGGCACCCTATCCTAGATAGTTTGTTCCCCTTTTCCCTAGATAGTGTTCCCCCCTTTTCCCTAGATAGTGTCACCCTTTTCCCTAGATAGTTTCACCCTACCCCTAATAGTGTTCCCCAAATTTCCCTCGGATAGGTCACCTATTCCCTAGTTTGGTTCCCCTATTCCCTAATTTCCCTATCACAAATTGGGGAATGGGGGGCCCTTTTTGGGGAATGCACTTTTTTGACGGGTTTAAAATTTGGCTTTTTCCCTTTAGTTGGGAATTTGGGAACCTGTCGGGGACCCAAATTTTTCCACCCCTAAATCTGTTCCTAAAAGGGGGTAAAGGGGAAGCCCAAAGGAGCTGTGGATTTTATTTAAAAAAAAAGGAAATGGGTTTGTGGTTTTTTTTTTTTTCAAAAGCATTGTTGTAAAATTAAATTTGCTTTCTGTGTGAAAGTCGGAAACAAATGTGTGTTCTTTCAATTACAAAAATCTGCTTTGTCACCAAAGTGTCTCTTTCTGTATCCTTTTAATATTTTCGTTTATTTGTCAGGGGCCATTGTACAACACGCCATTTGCGCCAGATTTAGCTAGATTAGCTCATTTTCATCTGTAGTCCCTGGGCAGAAAACAATCAACATTAAAACATCAATACAATCCTACAGTATAACACTATTTTCCTCCTCACTGTTACAAAGTAAACAATCTAATTCTCTAATTTTCCTCTGTTTCTATCAAACTCTTTCTACTTTCTAATTTATTTCCGTACTAGTAAAGCCAGAGGAAAATAATTGAAACTTCTCTCACACTACTAGTATTCATAAGGTGTTGTTTAGAATGCGTTCAGTACTAAACTTCCTCTTGGCCGCCGCACCTCGGGCCTTGAGGTTTGATGCATATTAAAATGTCTGTGAATTCATTACATCACTAGGCATTTATTTGATTAAAATTTGACTGACAATTTGGTTAGCCACTAAGACTTTGGTAGCTACTGTGGTGAACCTGAGGCGTAAGGAGGTGGTTGGGTTGAACCAGTGTGATATTCTGTGAGATACGTTGAGCCGTGCACTCTGGCCAACAGTCATGACATCAACCTGTCTGAGCCAAGGGATGTTAAGCTGTTCAAGGTGTTAACGGTGTCCTGTAAAACACTAAAGGGCAGGAACATCCTGTAATCAAAACACACAATGACACGTGGCCGACTTTCACTGCACTATTACCACTGAAAATACACTGCCTCAGATGGAATGGAATGCATTCTAGAACACCTTAACAGAACTTACACTGAACCCAAAAATATATAAACGCAACACGCAACAATTTCAAAGATTTTACTGAGTTACAGTTCATATAAGGAAATCAGTCGTTTGAAAATAAATTCATTAAACCCTAATCTATGGATTTCACATGACTGGGAATACAGATATACATCTGTTGGTCACAGATAAAAAAGACAGTGGATGCGCCATAGGATTAGGAATTAGAATACTAGAATGGACATAGGGTCAGCCATGTCGGTCAGGGAGTTGGTCAACCATGGTTTGCCAGTGCTGTGATAAGATAGCAGGGGCACAACTTTCACTGGGGATGAAGGGGACATGTCGTCCCCAATACACACAAAACTAGTAAGGAATGAACTTTAAGAATATATACATATATGGACAAGCAATGACAGATAGACCAGCTGCAAAGTCAACATTTTGTAAATAGTGTAAAAAATTCAGGAAAACTAAAAGGTTAGGTTACGGTTAGCAGTGTGGATAAGGATAGGGTTAAGGTTTGGGTTAGGTTTAAAATCCGATTGTATGACTTTGTGGCTTTGCCAGCTAGTGACCACTCTGCAGTGCTGCCTCCAGGGCAAGACTCAAAACACTAACCCTGCACATAGTGCACTGCTTTTGACCAGGTCCCTATGGGAACTATGGGTGCTATTTGGGACACACCCCTCAGTCTCTATCAGCCTATCAATGAACCGTGGCACAAACATCAGGTGGCATGTCGAGGCTGTCTGGGTGTCTCGTGTGAACTAAAGCGAATAGTTACACAAACAAAACTGGCCAAGAAGTTAGATAACGTTTAATATCTGTTCTTACAGTATGGAGGATTTTAAGGTTGGCTTTTTTTCCCCCCATCAATTCTCAGAAGCAGATTAATATAAGGCTCCTCATATAACCTTCCTAGGGTATGTGGAGTTACATAAGACTCTGGCTGGTTGGGCCACTGTGACAAACGCAAACCGCCACAACCTGACATGTGGTAGAGCCAGAGTCCCAAACGGCACCCTATTCCCTATATAGTGCACTACTTTAGACCGAGAAGGGGCCCCCATTCCCTATATAGTGCCACTTTAGCCCCGGGAAAAGGGGTACCCTTTCCCCCTATATAGGGGCACTATTTTGGGCCCAGGGGAATGGCACCCTTTTCCCCCTACTAGTGCACCTTTGGAACCAGAGAAGGGCCCCTCCCCCCATTTAGTGCCCTATTTAAAACCAAGAATGGAAAACCCTTTCCCTAAATGTGCATACTTTAGACCAGAAATGGAAACCCTTTTCCCTATATATGCACTATTTAGACCAGGAAGGGCCCCCCCTTTTCCCCTATATGGGACACTTTAGACCAGAAAATGGCACCCTTTCCCTAAAATTGAAATATTTTAGACCAAAAATTAACCCTTTTCCCCTATAATGCATACTTTAGCCCAGAAAAAATCACCCTATTCCCTATTAGGGGCACTCTTTAGACCGGGAGAGGCACCCTATTTCCCTTTTTATGTCCCCTACTTTGGACCAGAGAATGGCCCCCTTTTCCCCTTATAGTGACTCCTTTAAACCAAGAAGGCAACCTTTTCCCCTTATATTGCAAAAATTTAACCAGAAAAATGGCACCCTTTTCCCCTTTAAAAGGGGTCCTCCTGTTGACCGGGAAAAGGGGCCCCCTTTTCCCTATATAGTGCCTACTTTAGACCAGAAAAGGGCCACCCTATTCCCTAATAGGGGCACTACTGTTGACCAAAAAAGGGCACCCTTTTCCCTAATATGCATTTACTTTAGACCAGAAAAGGCCCCCTATTCCCTATTAGGCACAAACTTTAGACCAGGGGAAAGGGCCCCCTTTTCCCCATATATTTGCATTTATTTTAGACCAGGAAGGCACCCATTCCCTATATTTCCCCTATTTTTGACCAAAAGAAGGGCCCCCTTTTCCCAATATATTTGCACTACTTTTGACCAGAAAAGGCCCCCTATTCCCTATATATTTACTGTTTGACCAGGGGGCCCCCTTTAGTGTGACGTACATTTTTCTTGTTGTATTTCCATTCTATTTTGGGGAAACCCCCATAGCTTCTTATTAGCTCAGGGGAAAAAAGGGAAAAACCATTAGATTCACTATTAGTCAGGGGAGTTTTTAACGCAAAAACCCAATTTTTTAAAAGCAAAAAAGGGGAAAAAAAACAACCCATCGTTTTCCCCTGGGGGTTTTTTTTATCTGTGGTTTTTTTTGGGGGGTTTTTGGGGGGGTTCCCCCTCTCTCGGGTTTCTTCTCTCCCCTATCCTCCTTTTTCCTCTTTCCCCCTTTCTTTGTCTGGGGCAGAGGGGGAGGGAGGGAGGGGGGGGGGGGGAGGGGGGGGAGGGGGGGAGGG